CCAATAACTGCCTGACCAAAAGTGCTGCGTCGAATCTGCTGAGTTGAAACGACTCCTCGCGCTCGGATTTTATTTTTTGCTGTTGGACGAATATGCTCCTGGGAACATGAAGGGTGCTTTGTCGTTTGAGACGTTAAACAAGTGGTTTGCTTTAAAACACACGATCTTGTTATTAGTTTAAATTCATGATTTTTTTTTTTAAAAAAAGGGAGAGCCACCCCCCGTTCGTTCTTCCTGTCGTGGGAAGAAATGGAAAGTGCGGGTGTCGGATGTGCTGAGGGGAAACGGCAGGTTGGTAAACAGTGTCCGTTTGGCAAGAGCTGGCCCGGCAGGGAGGCAACATGGCGGCGGGGGGTGGCCTGCCGGGGCTCCTGCCTGCCCAGAGCCAGCTGGAGTATGACCTGCTGGACGCCCTGGCCCCGCAGGAGAAGCACAGCCTGGTCTCCCAGTACCTGGAGAAGGTGGACAGCCGGGAGCGGGACCTCAGAGTCCCCGACTTCGGAGGAGGTGGGCGACGGGAGAGGGCGGGGCCTGGTGCCACGGGGAAGCCGCTGCCGTCGGACTGCGAGGCGGGAGGGAGGTGACAGTGACTATAGCGCGGCATCGACCTGTAGCCCCCCCCCCCCCTTAGTTTTTGGTATTTCCCACCACGGCCCCAGGGAGCTGGGCAGGTGTGAGACAAGCCCCTGCCTCGATTCTGCGGGTGTCCAGGGCTTGGAGATAAGAAGCCCGGAGTTCTAATCCCTCCTTCAACTCCTTTCTGTATTCACTAGAAGGGGGGGGGTGGGATGTGAAAGGGGTGTTGGGGTGTGGCCTCGCCTGCACCCTGTTTCGAAGCAGGGATGCAAATGAAGACATTCGAAATGGCAAATGAAGCCGGGTTTTAAATACCCCCACGCTTCGTTTGCGTAATCGCGTTATGGCGCTCTTTCGAGTTGGCGCCATTTCGAATGAACAGACGCTGCGTAGACGCGGTTATTTCAAGAGAAAACCCTTCTCTCGAAATAACCCTTATTCCTCGTACAATGAGGTTTAACACTTGAGTAGCAATTTCGAATGTCTGTATTTGCATCCCTGTTTCGAAATAGGGTGCAAGTGTAGACACACCCTCAGCGGATGCTTCTTGGTTACTGTTATCGGTTAAACTCTTCCCACTCCCCGGAAAGGCAGCTTCTCTGCAGCAGGCAAGCTTCCTTCCCTAGAGACTGGCAGCTGGGATGTTAGATATCGTGTAATTGAATAATCATGTGACCGCATCAAATTTTAGCAGTTATATGACTATTCGATAGTCCCTGGGTGTGAGGCCAGTAGCCAGTGCACTCCCAGCTCCACGTCCTGGGAGACCCTTGCCACCTTGTGCTGCTGCTTCTGATAGAGTCAGCGGGGGAGGAGGGGAGAGGAAACATGAAAGGGAGTGCTTAAAAGCCAGCTTCCCCCAAGCACTGGCTCTGCCTGCTCCCCCGCCTCTGTGGGAGTCATCGAGGGGGAGCAGTAGGGTTACCAGGTAGGTTTAGAAAAAATACCGGACACACTTGATGGGGGGGAGAAGGAGGGACCGGCTGGAATAGGGAGGAAAAAAACTGACCAGCAGGAAGCAGGGGTGGGCTGGAGGAGGGTCTGGGGGGCAACGGAGCTGGTTGGGAAGGGTCCGGGAAAGTGTGTGTGGGGGGGGGAGTGGGACTGACCAGGGCACATGTAGATCCTGGGGCACTGTCAGTCCTGCGCACAGTCCAGAGAAGTGCGAGTGAGTTCAGCTGCAGCTCCACCATGCGCTCAGGAGCAGGAACAGGGCTTCTCCTCCTCCCCAAGGCGTCAGATGCAGCCAGGGCTTCCAGTGCCGATTGCGCCCCACCTCCCAGCCACTCCCACAGCCCCTGCCAGGCTTCCGTCCGGCACCCAGCCAGAAATCTAGGAAATGACTGGCTCTGCCTCCTCCTTTCCATCTCAGCTACCAAGCTGTTCCATCCTTTACCAGCCTCCTACCCCAATGACTTCAGCCTCCTCCTTCTTCTCCCTTGGTCTCTACTGCCCTTCCCTGGCACCCTTTTTCCATCCCAAACTCTGCTGCTGTGACCACACACACTGCCTACTTCTCCCTCCACACACACTCTCTCTCTCTCTCTCTCTCCCCTCCTCCTCCCATTCTGGAGCCTCAGATAAACAGCAGCACGTAGGGGAGAGTAGAGGCAGATCTGTGGGATCTGGTGCTTGGTGCTGACACGGAGGCAACAAGGAGGGGAAGTGCCTGTGGTCAGCAGGATTAACTGATAAGCCTTTGTTAATTATGTAGTCAGCTCCTTCCAGAGGATGTGGTGAAGGCTAGGACTTCAACAGGGTTCAGAAAAGAGCTAGATAGATTGGAAGTTAGCTCTATCAATGGTTATTAGCCAGGATAGGTACAAATGGTGTCCCTAGCCTCTGTTTCTCTGAAGGTGGGTGACAGGGCAGGGATCACATGAGGATTACCTGTTGTGTTCCCTTCCTCTGAAGCATCTGATATTGACCTCTGTTGGCATACAGTATACTGGGCTGGATGGACCGTTGGTCTGACCCAGTATGGCCATTCTTATGTTCTTTTCCCTACTTCACTGTGGGCTCTGCAGTATAGAGCTTATTTAAACTTTATATCGCACAGCTCGCTGCATGTGTAAACATGTAACCACTAAGATTTTCGGTGGTTACATGGTTACCTTTTTAACGGACTTGTAACATCCCTAGATAGAAATAGATGACAGGAAGCTCTGAGTATTCATCCCATCTCTCATAGTTGTTTCTGTCTTTTTTTTCATTGTGAGCAGTTTTGCTTAACATTTTCCAATCTGTAGAATGAAGACAAATCTAAGAATAAAAAAATAAAGTGAACACAGAAGCACTGCCATGTGATTAAAAAATGCATCATGCCAATTCTCACAATCTTATTGTCAGTATTAAAATAATTGATATTTTTCTTTAAGTCTAGCTCCTGGATATGATTATTAATTGAGAATCTATTTTCATTTTAAAACTATGAAAAAAATGCCCTCATGGTTGCAAGAAATATGAATTATGAAAGCTCCAGTTAGAGGGTAAACAAACAGAATACCATTAAAATTGTTAGATAATCTCATGATTTTGGAAGGGGCTGAGGAGTTTGCCTCATTATTTTCAAAAATGCTTGGGTTTGCCAATACTTTTATTTTGTGCAGTACTGTTATCTGGCGCATTATTTGTCTGACCTCGGTATATGTTTAACGCAGTGTCCTCTGTAATTAATAGTGGTCAAGAAATAGTAGGTTACTATAAAAAATTGAATTAAAATGTTTTTAATGATATTCATGTCTTTGTTGCTGGTGCTTACTGGTTCTGGTTTACCAGTAGGGGCTCTGGATGTCCAGAGCAGCCACTGTCTGTGGCAAGTCCAAACTTGCTGTGGACAGGGCCAGGCTAGAGCAGTTAACCAATTAAACATGATTTTATATCCCTACTCCATTGACTCTTTACAGTACATGATATTAAAACACTGTGTGATTTAATTATTAACAAATAGGAAGTTTCTACTATGTTGTTAACTCTTTGCAGTCATTTTGCTGAGAGAATAATGTATAGAAATTAAATATTTCCTGTTATACAGTTTAAATATGATTGTATAGCACTCTTGTAAATGAAACAATGAATTCATACTACTGTCGCTTTTTTAAATGACATTGATTGCTAATTCATGAATTGCAGCAGTAGAGTTTTCATCATTATGGTAAGAAAAAACAAGTATTTCTTATATGTGGGCTAGTAATTTTTTGCAATCTTTTGCAAAACTGCCTATGCTCATCCCTAAATATACTTTCACAATTTAGCCATATAATACAGGTTGAACCTCTAATCCAGCGCTCTCTGGTCCAGCAACATCTGTGGTCCCACGTGATTTTAGTTAGCTGGATGTCCACTTATTGTAGGGTGTGGCCAAGATTCCCGTGGTCCCATCAAGTTTGTTTACAGCCACCTGTCCTCGCTCTCAGTCTTCCATACTGTTATTGAGGGTAAATTAGAGCTAAATATCTTCTGTGTCTCCTGTAAGCTGTGGAAGTGTTGGTAATGTTGCTAGACGATATTGATCTCCCATGGTTTAGCACCATTCAGGTCCCAAGGATGCTGGACTAGAGAAGTTCAACTAGGAAACTGTTGGAGTGTCTTTGATTTTTGTTGTTGTTAAAAAACCATAAGAATGGCATTACTGAGTCAGACCAATGGTCCCTCTATCCCAGTATCCTATCTTCTGACAGTGGTCAATGCCAGATGCTTCAGGAGGACAACAGGAGAATTATCAAGTGATCTATACCCTGCCATTCAGTCCCAGCATCTGGCAGTCAGAGGCTTAGCCATCTTGCCTGATACCATTAATGGACCTACCCCAGTGATGGGCAACCTGTGGCCGATGCACCCCCTCTTTCCCCACACCTCTCAGACACTGAAGCACTAGAGCCCCACACATACCTACTTCTCTCCCTCCCCACCAGCACTTTTGGAGCACCATGAGTTGGCTGGTTCACACACTATCCTTACTTCTCCCCCGCTCTCCCAGCACTTTCTCAGTAGTGTGAATCAGCTTCTTATTTATTCTGCATGTCTACACTATGAGTATTTGGGCTCCTAAGCAATTGAAAAATGCTATTGCTCCTCGTATGCAAAGCTAGAATGTACTAATTATATAACAGGGAAATAACTTCACCACAGGTATTTAGCATTATACGGACTTCCAGGCTTGTTCTCTTGCACACAAATACTCTAAAATAGATTTAAGTATGGCTTCAGGATTTTTCCCAAACCCTGAAGGATGATATTCCATTCGTGCCCTGATGTTCTGTTTTCAATATTTGAATGAAAACCCCTACGTGCCTATCCATCTAATACTAAACTAAAACAAAAATCTTTACTTTGGTCTCCGTGGCAGATGTTTAAGATAGTACTATGGTCAATGGGAGCTCCCATGTAGGGAGAGCAAATGACAAGCCATCTTTTTTTCAGCTTTGAGAGGAGAATTTTATCCTGTATAATTTAAGTTCCAATTTGAGGGATTCTCCCTCTCTGCCCCCAAGTTTCCACATTTTTCCTCCAGTTGAACATGTTGAGAGAGTTTGACAGATGATCCTCAGCCTTTCACAGATCTTAGACTGGAAACTTTCTTTAGCTTCTTTAAAAGAAAATAAGAGTAAAGAAGTTTATTAGCAGTTTCATTATTTAATAAAAGACCTATCTGGTTATTCAGAATAACTGACTCTCACACTTTGTCCTTGGTAATCACTGTGACCACCACATTGAATCCTTCCTGAACTTCCTCTATTTCATGGGTTCCCAAACTGGGGAGTATGAAGAAATTCCAGGGGGGAGGCGCAGGGGCGCGAGGCCCATCAATTCCCCCTCTCCCCCTCCCCCCCCCAAGTTTTGCTGCTATTTTTGTTTTTCATTCCCAGTCATCCTTTTTTTTTTCTCAACAAGTTTTGCTGCTATTTTGGGGGGGGGGGGGGTTGAGGGTTTCTCAAAAATCAAAAAGGGGACGTGATGCCGAAAAGTTTGGGAGCCACTGCTCTATTACATTGTATCAAGTTCTTTTTCTCAGTGTGAAGACCGCTCACAAATCTTCCTCTCCCTACTTGTCTTCTCTGATCTTTATTATGTTGTTTACACCCCCACATACTAAAATCAGAGAGAGGGATGTAAAATTCCATTTAATTGATTAACTGGTTAAATGTAATGTTTAACTGATTAAAGGAGAGATGGGCAGGACAGCCTGCAGCCAGGCTGGAGGGGTCAAGCCTTCCCGCAC